CACTAAGGCCAGTTCGTGTATTACTGTATATTACATATATACTAAGTTACTATAAACATATATACTAAGGTACTGCTATCACCCTAACCCATAAGAGAGCTCGACAACTGGCCTCTGTTGGTTAGAGTGCTGCACGCCTGCACTGGAATCAGGAATCACAGGTCTAATTCCTTCCAGGGATCTACATGCAGTTGCTTTTTTTCACAGCTATTTCTTGGTTAGGTGTAACAAATGCATATAAATTTCCACTCGACAATTTCCATGTACAAGACCCTTCAACTATTATATATATGAGTGAGATGCCAACGGAATCTCCTAGAGTAATATATAGTGTCCTTAACAGCTGAGCTACAGTACAGAGTCCAAATGTCAACCTCTAACCACAAGTATATATATATATATATATATATATATATATATATATATATATATATATATATATATATATATATATATATATATATACTGGTTACTGCCGTGTCAAGGTATCAGTAAGTAATATTTACCGATACTAACACAGCAGTACCCAAGTATACATACATGAACTCCAGCTTGACAACTGGACTCTGTATCTCAGTTCTGTTGGTTAGAGTGCTGCATACACCAGAATTGCAGGGCCGCAGGCACGATTCCAGCCAGAGGACACAGTCATATTCAAAGTGTGTAAGCGACTAGCAGTCAGGATGTACTTTCATATACCATGTAGCATTTTCATTTTACAAAATTTGAGCACTTATTGAACTTGAAGCTCACAATTGGGTTGGCTTTAAATAGTATACAGTTTATAGTTTAAAAATAGATATGCTATAAGTGATATAAAACAAACTATTATCTAGTTAGCATATTTGCAAAATTGTAAAGCAACTTAAACACTTAATTGTGCGCGAATAATATATAATCATGACAGGAATAAACCTGTGTTATAGTGCGATCAAGATGGGCTCAGTTCATATAAAATTAATATGAAGATATATATTGAATCAGTAAAAAGACCATGATAAATCAGAAACTCGATTACAAAAAATGCAAAAGATATGTAAAACCTTTCTTACCTTCGAATCTAATCGCTTAAGCTCCTGAGCTGTATATATTGCATTTTTGTTCTCCTCTTCAACTGTCAACAGCTAACTTTGTCTTTCGCATATACCGTCCAACATCGAATATTTTATTGCGTGCATGCCTTTGTAAAAGGTATAATATTATCTTTTCTGGCATATTTTGTCAAAAACAAAAAACATACGAATTTTAATAGGTATCTTAATATAACACTGTAGAAAGAATCCTATATATGTATACAAGCCGAAGTTGTTCCGCCCGATTAACGCGTTTGACGCCGGCTGACAGCCGGAAATTTTGTCTCCGATTGCTCGGCTACCAGCCGGGCTGTACTACTATAGTATAACAGGTAGGCAATTTGTCTGAGCATGCGCGCAGAAAATCAATATGGCGACATATATCAGGAGTGTTTCGAGGATTTATCTGGTTTTAAAGCTGATAAAACAACATTTTAATGAACGAAAACTTTGTAATATTTCGTGGAAAACATTAAGCTGTGCATTCCAAAGGTTTTAAATAAAAAATAAGTACTTTTGCTTTATTTTATTGCTTTTTATGCTTTGAAAACAGGCAAGCTCATATTTTTTGAAAAATTTTTTTCTAATATTTTACTCATTATTTGTTTAATCTGAACAAAAATAGATAGAACACTTGGCTATATAAGTTATAAAGGTATTGTTAGCTGATCTGAAAGATTTCAGTATTCCAGGTACACATTTTAACAAAGAATAAAATTAAAATATATGCATATCAAAAACAATGGTTTTTATTAGAACAACACAGAATAAGTTGTTATTTTCTATTTTTACAAAAAACAAGTTTGAAAACAGGATCTATAGTCCTCCAGCTTGATGTCATATTCCATTTATTTGGATATTTGAATAAAGGAATGTGAAATAATAATTGAAATTTGTCCAAAATTTGATACCAACACTGGAATGAACAGATACTATCACCTAAAAATGAAAGAAAACAGAACTTAAATTTATCATATAATGCTATGAAAAATCTTAGATACTACAAGCATATAGTCAACACAACTCTTTAACAAATTCACTAAAATAAGTTAAGTTATGCTACGATAAGAGGATGGCAATATATGACAACATCAAATGTTACCATCTTCAGTGTCCAAAAAAAGTGCCGCGCGCATTTTTCGTGGTCGCATAACTGGCATTGCCACAAACCCAGGTGAAAAATCAATTAGAAAAACCTGGTTTTGGGTGATGAGCATAGTCAAATTCTTGACTTATTCAATTTTCTAAGTTTTTCCAGGTAAACAGGTTCAACATTGAAATAAGCCCCATTTGGGACCTCATAGAATCCAAACTATTGTGTATGGACCAGATTTTTTTCAATTTTCTGTGATTTACACGACACTAGTTATAATTTAAGGGGCAACCAGTATTGTTCAAGACATATTTTCCTTCCAGAACACCTTTTCAAAATACTAACCCAAACATGTCAAAAATAGTGCACATTTACAAGGGCAATTTCAACCCTTTGGCACATTTTTCCCATGAATGATTTTAATTCTAATAAAAAGACTATAGATAAAACTTTGATTTAAACCTAGTTTCAAGTGATGAGCATACCCTAAATTTTAAGCTGCACCTCAAAGAAGATAGGTCATTTCAACATAAACATTGAAATATGGGTATACTGGCAGCTCTGTCACACGTGACGTGTAGTTTGACATTAGCAAACCTTCTGAAACATTTTAATGAAAGTATAATTCACAAAGTTCACATTTTCACTTACTTCTTAACATCTGTTTTAACCCAACTAGCTCTGTAGGCACCAGCAAAATTTAGTGTCGATGTAAATATCCATTTTGTTCATGTTTCCCCGGTGAAAATATAGTCTATTCCAAAGCTGATTTCGACGTACTTTAGCTTTTCAGAAACCGTTGGCCTTCCTCAGTGAGATTATTAACTGTTTCACAAACATATTTGATAGTAAACAGCTAAAATATTCTCCGAAAGTCTATATTTTTGCTTTTCGACGCGAAAATGGAAACTCAAAGAAGAAATGAGCCGCTATTTTTGGTCAGCGTCGACAAATTGCCTACCTGTTCTATAGTATACTATTCGTTCAAAAAATGCGCGCATTTCGGAGACTGGTTCTAGAATGTTTCATAAGCAAAAAACCACCAAAATTACATTAAATTTTCCGAAAATCATCGAAATGCATCTAAATTCATCTTCCCAATGCATATAGCTAGCTATGCGACAGGTAAATAAACGAGAAAAAAACCCAATTTCGGCAAAAAGAAAAATTCAAATTCGTTTGCGCGCATTCCGGGACCGAACTCACGACCCTCAGCATACACGCTGAGTGTTGTCCCCTTGCGCTACCACGTCTTACACGGAAAATATGTTAATTAATTGTATATATACAGTTATTCTTAGCCAGGGCGATTTATGATTGCGTAAATACGTACACCATTGTACACGGCCAAGGTACGTACAGTAGCAGCCGAGCCGTATCTACTCTTCCAATACATCACGGCATAGATCACGGCTACCAGCTGGGGTTATTTAATTGTAATACAATACTACAATGCAATACGAGTGTCAGCCGAGCCTGTCGGTAGTATACTGTAGTATACTACGATAATCACGGCTACCAGCCGACAATACGGCTTTCAGCCGGGCCTGTCTGTAGTATACTATAGTATACTACAATACATCCGGGTACCAGCCGGCAATACGGCTATCAGCCGGGCGTGTCTGTAGTATACTATAGTATATTACAGACACGCCCGGCTGATAGCCGTATTGCCGGCTGGTAGCCGCGATGTATTGTAGTATACTATAGTATACTACAGACACGCCCGGCTGATAGCCGTATTGCCGGCTGGTAGCCGCGATGTATTGTAGTATACTATAGTATACTACCGACAGGCTCGGCTGACACTCGTATATATTGCATTGTAGTATTTTATTACAGTTAAATAACGACACTCGTATTGCATTGTAGTATTTTATTACAGTTAAATAACCCCGGCTGGTAGCCGTGATGTTCTGTAGTATTCTATAGTATACTACAGACATGCCCGGCTGATAGCCGTATTGCCGGCTGGTAGCCGTGATGTATTGTAGTATACTATAGTATACTACAGACATGCCCGGCTGATAGCCGTATTGCCGGCTGGTAGCCGTGATGTATTGTAGTATACTATAGTATACTACCGACAGGCTCGGCTGACACTCGTATTGCATTGTAGTATTGTATTACAATTAAATAACCCCAGCTGGTAGCCGTGATCTATGCCGTGATGTATTGGAAGAGTAGATACGGCTCGGCTGCTACTGTACGTACCTTGGCCGTGTACAATGGTGTACGTATTTACGCAATCATAAATCGCCCTGGCTAAGAATAACTGTATATATACAATTAATTAACATATTTTCCGTGTAAGACGTGGTAGCGCAAGGGGACAACACTCAGCGTGTATGCTGAGGGTCGTGAGTTCGGTCCCGGAATGCGCGCAAACGAATTTGAATTTTTAGTTTTGCCGAAATTGTTTTTTTTTCTCGTTTATTTACCTGTCGCATAGCTAGCTATATGCATTGGGAAGATGAATTTAGATGCATTTCGATGATTTTTGGAAAATTTAATGTAATTTTGGTGGTTTTCTGCTTATGAAACATTCTAGAACCAGTCTCCAAAATGCGCGCATTTTTTGAACGAATAGTATACTATAGTACAGCCCGTCTAGCAGCCGAGCAATCGGAGACAAAATTTCCGGCTGTCAGCCGGCATCAAACGCACTAATCGGATGCCAAACTGATACTCACCCCTGCCTCTCCCCAAAACCCAATGAGGCAAATAGGTTTTTTTTTTGGGGGGGGGGGGTAGCGGAGGTAAAGACTCTAAGTATCAGTACAACATTTGACACATTTCAAGCAAAAATAAGTTGAAATAGATTGTAATAATACCTGAGAAGGTGGTGGCTATAGTCATACTGATAGTTGTATTAGATTGAGTTGAGGTATTAGGTTGTATTGTTGAGGCATTTGTGGTGGGACCTATAACGACAGACAGAAATATCATTAAATAAAACAGTATAGCAATGGATTAATATCAGACTATTTGCCATATTAGTTAACCGATTGAGATGTATTGTGCCCTAACACGCCCTACCTTTTAATTCTGTCTATAAACACAGACAATTCTACTTGTCTAGGGGAGGGAGAGTGCTTGTACTCAATCGTTCCTTATTTTTCTCTGAAGTTTATATTTATAAATACATGCATATTGTATTACAGTATGTAATAGAAGAACCAAATATATACTTATATTTCACTTTATTATTAATAATACAGGCATTTCACAAATTGCTAAATAAACAAAAAGTATTCATTTAGCGTGATTTATATTTGCGTTAATGTGTTTGTCGAAGCTTAAAATGACAAGTCTGTGACAAATGTTCATGACTAAATTGAATATTTTTGCTTTGGGATGGGTATATTCGGAAAGCGAAACCTAAATCTACTTCCTTGAACAATTTGGCATATTTTTGAGTCATTTTAAACCGAAATGCTTTGCAAAATTGTACAATAATTGACAGACAAAGTACTTTACCAGTTGTCGTTGTAGCATTATTGCCTTTTATAGATGAAAGATAAAAATATGCAACCAACATAAACAAAGCATGTCGTGCGACTTTCCAATCCATTTTCAGAGCTTTTTCGAGGTATTACAACCAATTTAATATCAGCATGTTCTCACACGTTAACACAGGGATGAAATCTATCACGGAAATTCCAGTAAAGGAGTGATTTTCGTCGTAAAATATCGTTTGCCGCATGCATGGAATTGCGTTCTATAATTGCTCTTCTGGACAATGTTCCGGACAGGGACGGAACAATGCTGTATTGTGATTGGTTAAAACTACAAACCGGGGGGCGGGCCATACCAAAGCGTCCCCTGTGGTGACACCGGTGGAGTTCACTGGACCACCGGTGGGTGACAGTATTGTAACTATTGTCAGATACCTAAATAGATTGGTCTCTTGGAAACCAAAATAAACACAATTACTCGATTATAATTTCGCTTCTTTACAGTTGGGATTTTGTGCGTTTCCTTGAAAAATATCTACCTTTTGCGAGGGCCTCTGTTGTGTGAAATTTTTTCAACAATTTTATCGATTCATATTTGTACACGCTTCTGGAAAACTTGCCACGTTTTTGTTTACACGAAAACACGAAAACGTACACGAAAACGAGGCTCTGTAGCCAAAGATCCCGTTTTTACACGGTTACCGGACGAATTTGGGACCTGTCTGAAATTCGTCCTTTTTCGCCTGTTTACACGCGAATTCGTCCTGTTAGGGGGTCTCAAATTCGTCCGGTTCCGCGGGTTCTCGTGTGTTTACACGGCCGAATTTTACTCCGGTTCCAAATTCGTTCGGTACCGTGTAAACGGGGTCAAAGTGACCTACTTCCCGGAAGGATGCGTTTCAGCCAATTAAAATCGCAAGGTAATAAATCGACATTCTCATTGGTGTAACGAGCAATCAACATCCTACTATTGTCTATACGACAGTAATGAATGTCCATATGGTAAGTCAACTTCCGCAATGAATTTTCCTTCAAATACAGCAGGAAAAATCTCCACGGACAGAAAATTTTCCGAAAATGTCATTGTTTTAAAAGTTGAAAATTTTCAACTTCAAAATTCTTTTCCGACGGAAAATTTGTGTCGGCCAATCAAATTTTCACAAAATCTTCTTACTGCGGAAAATTTTCCAGAATGGAAACGGGCCTTTAAATGGATTCCCAATTCTTGCCTTCAACACTTCCCTATCAATGGAAATCAATGGTGAAGATGCATGAGTGGGTGGTTTAATTATGACGTCACAAGAAACTCGAAACCAAACAGATAATTTCAACATTTCTCTGTTGGCAGTTGGCTGGATTTCCTGTTCGTGAGTATTTCACGAAAGTTCAACGAAAATTTCCATGTATTAACCGAAGTTCTGGTTTTATTCTGATACTGAAAGAAGATACCTTAGAAACAACTGGAATTGATCGAGTGGCCGATATCAGGAAAGAGCAATTTGCTGAGCGGACAATATAATTTATTCAAACCGAAAATACTCATCCTTCAAAAGGCTTATCACAAACAGCTATCAACGGTAAAACCACCGCTTAACCGTCGCACGTAGCCAGTGAAATTCGTTAGATCTCACCAGCACGGAGTCTAACTAAAAGCAACCATGAATTTCTACCAAACTTTGTGGATTTTTGTGGTTGTGTTCTTCGTCTTAGCTGAATACAATTTCCAGCATGTAGAAGGAAGTTCTTGTGCCTCGAGAAACTCATCTTGTGGCGATTGCGTTGGCCTGAAGGGTAACTGTTACTGGTGTAAAAACAAGAAAATGTGTGGCAAGTTTATAAAGAGCGACGGCAAAAATCAGGCCAACTGTAAAGGCTCGGATATGTACTATAAACAATGCTATGTATCGGGGAATCTGCTTATAATCATCATTCCTTGTGTTGTTGGTGGCCTGCTCATAATAATCGGATGTTGTATCTACTGCTGTTGCTGTCGAAAATGCTGCAGTAAAAAGAAGGGCTTGTTTGACAAGGAGGATAAGAAATTGAAGAAAGAAAGGAATGAAAGAAAGCAAGTGCAAGATCATCGTAAAGCGGAGAGACAAGCAAGAAATGAAGAGATCCGTATGAAGTACGGCCTCAAACCGGCGAGTGGCGACTCGAGATACCAACGACTGGACCAGCCTTAAAATAAATGATGTCATATACAATTTCTGAACTTTTTTTTGAGATTTATAATTAAATATATAACAGGGATGTGTGAGTTTACACAATTTATATGTACAAATATTTTTGAACGTAAACACAAAACCGACGAACTCGTTCGTGCGTATCAGACAACACTTGAGGCAAAAATTTTAAACTTGTCATAATTCCTATATAGTCATAGATATATAAAGAGCAATGTTGAAAGGTTTGGGATAACCGCACGGCGTACATTTGCTGGTTATTCTGGGCAAGTAAATGTACGAATTAATGCTACTTATACGATGTGTTCCCATCTCGTATTACAAAACAGATATATGAGACAATGAGGAAATAAGACAAATATCCGGCTAGTTTCGATATTGAAAATTGAGGTTCTTCTTCCTGTAAAAAATTTCCGGTTTAGAAACTCATAACACAAGTTTTAATACGAAAACGAGGCTATTTGTTACATTAAACAAACTGAGACATTTATTCAAAGTCAAAGATAGTTGCCACACTGTGCCTATGGCTTATCTCGTTTCACGTTTTCATGTATATTTTATTTTTATCGCATTGTCATTGAGCCGAACTTCACAAATAGCAAATTAATCGACTGTGGGACGACTTGAATTGATAAAATTATTACGGCTAAGCTTTTAATGTCAATACAAAAATCTCAATTAAATTGTAGTTTCTGGTTGCTGTCATATATCACTTGGAAATAATCGTGAAGTCCTCATTCACTTTCTTTGTGATAACTTGAGACGCATTGTATACGATATACAGTTCGGTAAACGATCACTTCTAAACTTATCAAGTTAGAATTAATCCTTTGTCAAAGGTAGAAAGTGTTCTCAAAATCTTCTCTTCGCAAAGGAAAGATTTTTGTGACACGAATCAAACCTGAATCTAGAATAACAGCTGCAAATTAAAATGAATATGAAATATATAATCACCCATTGTCATTGGTCTCATTGAGGACTTTCATAATTAATATAACTAAAAAGAGACGTGTGCGGTCGTGTTAAGCATGTTTTTGTAATGTATAGGATCCGTTTTCTTTGTATTTCAAATTAATCCGTTTTCTTTGTATTTCAAATTAATGTCATGATTTATGTTACTGACGCATATAATATACTAGGAGGCACTTATAAACAATGCTGAATAAATAAAAATGCGGCATGGTAGTTCGAATATATTTTATCATTTTCGCTTGCTATAATGCCCCCTGCATGGGAATATTGTGTTAGAATTGTGTCTGGTCTATTGTTGTATGAACTATGAGGGTGACGACCCATTGTTTTGTTTCTATAGTTTCCAAAATTAAATAGTTGCAATGCGTTTCTTTGTTCTACTCGAGTAAAAACTTCCTTGTTAGATCCTTGGTCAGTATCAGTTGGAAACTAAGCAACATCTGTCTTGTGATCAAATACAATATACTGTTCTATTTAGCATCAATGCGTGGTCGTTTGTCTTGTTTTATCACAGTGAATCGCAGTGCTGAGTGTTTTAGCGTAGGTGGCCAATAGAACTGACAAAAAGCTGCATTTGTCTTGCGATACGACGGCTTTTTATAGCATGCACAGTTATTTAGTAGGTGGGAGGGGGGTGATGCAACCCAGCCAATCTTGTACATCTCGCGATGTGACTGGAAGTGTGACGTCACTGCTCAAGCTTCTAGGGTCAGATCACGGATTGACATCATGATCGGCATCGTTTTTTATAGGTCTATCCAGTCCGGTAATGAGATCAGTTTGAAATGAACTGGTCTCATACAAGAGACTGGATAGAACAAATTGAATATAAAACTGATCTCATAACCAACTGGACAGACCTTGTCAAGAATGAAGCGAATTCGCGAATGCAAGTGTCACTAACTTTAAAAAGGACGTGCGAGGCTACATTCTCGCAAAATTGAGCATTTTAATAATTATACTATGTACAATTTTCTAAAAATTTTATAATTAAATCCTGGTTCACATATGCCTGCGGTATGCCTGCGGTATGCCTGCGCTATCATTGTTTACAGCTGTTGATGCATACATTCTTTTGTGAATTATTTGGTTGAACTGCTAACGACAATAGCCCACCAACATACCGCAGGTATAGTGAACCAGGCTTAACCTACACTGTAAAAACAGATTGGTTAAAATAACCAATTTGAATTGGTTGTCTCAGATGCATTTTCTTTTGTCCAATATTATTTGGTCAAAACAACCGAAAAATTGGTTAAAATAACCAAATTTTTGGTTGTCTGTTTATTTTAATAGATGGTTTGGAGACTCGATGAAAGTACAATTATATAACTCATTAACTATGTTATTGTCCGGCTTTATGCAAGAATTTGGTCCTATCTCGTCACGTGTGTATTGTATTTTCGCTCAAATAACCAATAAGAAGTTTGTGGTTGAGTTATCCCTCCGTAATTTGAACAAATGCTCAATTTAAACATTGCTATTGGTTGTGCGGGAAAAAATACAATACACACGTGACGAGATAGGCCCAAATTCTTGCATTAACCGAAACCAACATAGTTAATGAGTTATATTGTACTTTCATCGAGTCTCCAAACCATGTTTTGTATTAACTGTGTCTTAACCAAAAAAATGTTGGTCAAATAAGTGCGTCTGAGACAACCAACTCATTTTTTTCATAATTCAAAACGAAGCTGTTTTTATAGTGTAATCTCGGGGTGGGGTGGGGTGGGATGGGGTGGGGGTGCTTATCTTCCCCAGGGAGGTTTGAGTTTATCAGTGACGTGATTAAATAATTTTGATAATGTCACGTTACTTGATTGATTTTCACTGTCTCCGAAAGTATCTTTATAAACATTAAGAAAGAGACTACGCACAGTTTCCAGTCTTGTTCGTCTCACTGACTCCTCCACTGCTTCTTCGCAGCTATATGGAAAAGACAAACAATAAAATGAATAAGTCAAACGGGGCTCATTTACTGCTTACATGCTAGTACGGTATTCCTTACTGTAGGTCATTAATTTCACGTTTTCTCATTCCCAAACGCTCGAGGAAAAAGGTATGGTTTCCAGTCAACAGTAGGCTTTATTAGGCTGGATTACACTATCAAAGTTTCGGCACAGAATACTACACAGAAGTCCATCTCCATTGTTTTTTGCGTAAGCGTTATTCGTTATGATTTGTCACTCAGCAAGTACCGTAAACAGAAGCAGTCACCCCCCATGGACGTGCGCCATTTTGAGTATTTCCAGGGGGAGACTGCTTCTGTTTACGGTACTTGCTGAGTGACGAATCATGACGACTAGAGCTTACGCAAAAAACAATGGAGATGGACTTCTGTATAGTATTCTGTGGTTTCGGTGATCACAGTGAGAATGAGCTATAGACGAAATTTTGATCCAGACAATAAGAACGAAAGCCATTACCACAGTTGGAAAAAGATCTTAAAACGAGTAAAATTGCAAACTTTGGTTGCGAATTGTTGTAAAATGAGGAAAATATAGTCAGCAAATTCAAGGACTAAATACTGAAGAAAAGGGGTTTCTAGAAAATCAGTCAAATCTGACGTTGAATTTGTCAAAATGCAACTTTAATGAGTTTCAAACAGCTTTGTCAGATATGAACATGCAAAATCAATTCAATGTTGAAAGGATCTATCCAGTTGAGTTATGAAGAAAATTGTATGTTATTTGGCATAGTTCAACGGTATATTCTGGATACTTGTCGTTTCTCCTAGCCATTATGACTCAATTGTGTCTGTCTTCCTCTTTGTTATTGGTTGTATCTTTTTGTGTTTGTATTTTTGTACACATTCTTTTTTTAATATAAAAACATTTTTGTAAATAAATTAAATTTGAGTCTCCTTGATAAGCCTTGGCTTTTGAGGCAAATATATTAATAAAGTTTATATATAAAAAAAAATCAATTCAACAAAATGTCCGTTTTGAATGTCAACCATATTCAGAAAATATCCAAAAACTAAAGCAAGAAGAATTTAAGGATTTTCAAGTACTTCTTTACAAAGTCAAGGACATTCAAGGCCTTGAATCTTTATTTTCAAATTCAAGGACATTCGAGGACTTTCAAGTTCCGTACGAACCTTGCAATTAAATCAAACAATTATCATAAAAAGCGGCAACAATAAAGGCTTACGAGCTCAGACTATTTGGACCATATTCTTCCAAACGTTTCGCCAAACTTGGATGAAAACCATCACTCCCAGCGGTACTACAGAGACTGCCTGGACCTGAAACAAGTTGCCAGCTGCCCGCACTAAGGGAGTTTTGACACTGCGCCTGAAAACGGGCAAAATTAAGAACACTTTATAAAACAAGGAATTGTATGGGTTGCATTTTTAACAATAAAAAAACACGAAGCTAAATTCGTCGTCAGGACAAAGTGACAAAAAAAACTAACGCATAATAAAATATCGTTATGTTAAAGATTTCTTGTGGATTAAATTTTCGAGTAGAAAAGTACTACGTGTTTAAGAAATTAACCGGAAACAGTTGCAAAAAAATGCAGCTATACATCCTCTGCTCATATAATATAAATAAAAGTAAAAATTTCAAATCATGAAAACGGACTTACTTGGTTTCTAACAGAATTATTGCCAGGTACGGGCAGAGGTGTTGAACCATTATGATGTACGGCTGGTACAATTCTTGGTGAACTGCTTGAACTTTTGAAAAATAGATAATCAGATCAGATTCTTAAAAGGTCGCCAACTAAGGAAGGCATTTCACCAGAATTATTGCATAGTAGTATACCTTGAACAATGCTCTTCAGTACGGTTCTCGTCACTTGTGGGTTCTCCAATGAAATAACCTCTGCATGTCGACTCCAACGGCGAGTCACCGTTCGTATATTCTACAGAGGGCAATAAATTTGTGTTCAGCGCCATCCTCCTATTAGCCTGAGTATCAGGCCACTTTCCCCGTCCTTAAATGCGGGTGGAAATTTGAACCTTAAACTCAAGTTATCCCAGTGAAATAAATATAATTGAACAACCTCGTCACAGAATAAGGCACACAGAAGGTCGACTCGAGTAACCGCATCAAAATGCTGACG